AGCCTGGTGTTTGGTGTTAATGGTAATACAGTATTGTGGATATACTGGTATTAGCCTCTGTTGTCTATATCTTATGTGCACAATTTGGTGTCCTCTCTTTTCCTAATGTTATTGTGGTGTTCACAGACTCCTGCTTGAGATTGTTTGAACTTCTTGGATATGTAGATTCATGTCCTTTGTTAGATTGGGGAAATTTTCTGTCATTATTTCTTCAAATATTCTTTCTGTCTCTTTCTCTCATCTCCTCTGGAATTCCCATGGTGCTTATATTAGATCTCTTGTCCCATAATTCTGTTAAACTGTGTTTAGCCTTCTTGAGCCTCCATTATTCTTGTTCTTCAGCCTCTGTAATTTTAACTATCTTTTGTTCTGATTTGCTGATTCCTTTTACCTGACTAAATCTGTTGGTACATCCTTGTATTGTGTTTCTTATTTCAGTTATTATCCCTTTCAGTTGCAATATCTCTTTTTTTAGACCCTCATTTTGTTCTTAAATTGTTTTCCTTATTTATTTTAGCTCTTTGTCTCTGTTTTCCCTCAGGTATTTAATTATGTTTAACATTGGTATATTATGTTCTACTTTTTTCATTATTTGGTCATCCCTAGATGTACTTTGAAAGGAGCTCTGGTGGTGCAGTACCTGAGGCATTTGCCTGCTACCCAGAAGGTTGAAGGATGTTTCTTTACTCCTTTTGTCATGTTCATTTGGATGGGTCATTGTTTCTGTGTTCTTTGTGTGTCTTGTGGTTTTTTTGTTGGGGTTTGGAATTTTCAAGAGTGCTAACTTTCTCAGTTCTCTCAAGTATTTGGTGGTTTTGCCTCCACTTCTTTTTGCAAAGAACTTCACTTACTGTTTGCTTTCCCTTTCTGGTATAACTCTTATACCTTCCCTGGTTTACTTAAGATTTGAAAGTTCCAAATCTTGGTTTTTAACTTTCAATCTCTCCCAAACACACTGCGATCAAGCCATCCACCAGCCAGCACCATCACTCAGGTGAGATATTGTATACTGATCAACCTATCCACCAGGGGCTCAGTCCTCTCTCTCTCTCTGGTTATTACTGCATTCCCTTCTCTGTTTCTGTCACCACGTTTTCAATCAGAGAACCCACACTGAGTCAATACTCTTCGGGGCTGAGTGTTGCCCTCTGGTTTTATTCAGAGCTTCCTTCCATGTTGTTTGGGGGCTGCTTCTATCTTTGCTGGCTTTTAGTGGAAGCACAAGTAGACTTTCAGGAGGAAGGGGGACTGACAATCTGCAGAAGAGCCTCCAAGAGACCTGTCTTTGTTGGTGTCAGAGCTCCAGTGGCCCTGTGGTGGTTGGGGGCAGTCTCCTTTTAGATGCCCCTTCTCCTGGCTTCACTGTAGGGGACTTTCTACAGGAGTGTGTATCAGTCTGGCAGCCAACAGTTATGGGTAGAGGAGGGATTGCCATGCTCTGAATGGAACCCAAGGGAGGTCTGCCATGTTGCTACCAGAGCCTGCCCCATCGTATGTTGGCTTTGGGTATAGCCCCCTCAAGATGTCAGTTTCCTAGCACACAACAGCCTTAGTCAGCAGTCTTTAGTGCCAACTGGAAGGGGAAGCAGACTGACCCAAGTTTATCGCCAGGAAAGTCTGTCTTGTGGGTTTCAGAAGCGTGAGTTACGAGGTGCACAGGAAGGCAGGCACAGTGCAGACTGCAGGAGATGCCACTGCAGGGCCCTTCTGTAGCGATTCCCTGCAGGCTTCCAGCCAGCAGTGTGCAGGGCTGGGAGGTGCTGGCACACTCTGAATGGACCCCCATGGAGCTCTGTCTTGTTGCTGTCAGAGTCCCTCTGTGGGATGTTGGCTGTGCATCTGGCTTCCTAGTAGCCAGCAGCCTCAGTCAGCAGTTGTCAGGGCCAACAGGAAGGAGGAGCAGGCAGAGCCAAAGTGACTTCTCGAAGGTCTGTTGGGTTCAGGAGCCTGAGCTGTGGGGTATACAGGGAGGCAGGTAGAGTATGGACTGTGAGCACGGACTCCACTGCAGGGGCCTTCTGTAGCAATTCCCTGCAAGCTTGCCGCCAACAGGATCCAGGTAGGGGAGGTGCTGGCAACTCCAGACCCCAAGGAAAGTCTCCCTTGTTGATTTTAGAGCAGAAGCTTGGCGTCTTGACTCTTTGTACATACAGGCAGGGGGTGTGCGGCCTAGGAAACAGGCTCTTTTTCTGAGCCACTTCCCCAGTTCACGGCAGCCACTGGTCCTCATGGCTGGGGGAGGGGCAGGAATGGTGAGCGAAGCAGGTTTTCCTACAGTTGTTGTTGTTGTTGTTTGCTGTCGAGTCGGCCCCGACTCCTAGCGACCCCTCCTTGGGTTTCCGAGGCAGTTTCGCTATGGAAGTAGAGTGCCCCACCTTCCTTCCAGTAGCCGCCTAGTTGTTGGCTCACTGACTCTTGAGTGTCTGCAGTTTCCTGCGGCTGTCCTCTGCTCCTCGATTCAGAATCCCTCAAAGCCAAATACTGGTTCCTTGTATTTGTGCGGGAGGGTCAGAATGATGATCTATTAATGCTGCTACCGTTCCAGAATTCCACCACAAAACAGGTTTTTAAGATGAACTCTTCTAAAACTTTGTTCTAATCTTGCTTTCTAGTAACCACGAGTTGAGCGTGTTCTTTAGCTTTTCAGACCCTTAGGATTCATGACGTCTAAGTCCAGTCACTCTTCAGGCAGCGGCCAGGGGAATGCTCGCAGGGCTCCTGGCTAATTGATGTCAAAGTCAGCCCTAGAGCCTGGGCTTTGTGGCCCTGCTGATGGGCGAGAGGGAGACCAGGGGTGACCTTGGCTGGGACTATGAGTTCTGGCTCTACTTCTGGGGGCTGGGTGATTCTGGGCCAGCCACTTCATTTCTCTTGAGCTTTGGTTTCCTCACCAGAGAGTGATGAAAGAGGTAAGACGCCTACCAAGGAAGGTTCTGATGAGGATGTGGGGCATTGGTTCTTGTGGGGAGGGAGGTGAGCAAGTCCACCTTAGAGGGGCCTGGGTTTCTCAAGAGTGCAGGAGGTGGGGGCTGGCCTAGAGGCATGATGAGAGCCTTTGCTGAGGGGACCTGCTCCTGGGATGCTGCCAGTGTGCTCGGGGCCATGGGCTCGGGATGAATGCCCTTGGGCTGGGTAGGCAGGAGGCAAGGGAGGGCTGGGTGTCCCTGGGACCAGCACTACTGCAGGGGGCAGTGCCTAGGAGAGCCTAGCTCCCCCAGGACTAGTGCTGCACTGGAGGTAGTGCCCTGGAGGGCCAGGTTGAAGGTTGTGGTCAGAGAGGAGGTCTGAGGGTCCTGCCTGTGGGCAGCTGCAGCTGGGCAGACGGGGTGCTGAGTTGGCCACCACACTAAGGTTGGTGGAGTTCACAGTGCTGCTCAGCTCAGCTGCTGTGCGGAAGGCCCTGGCCAGCCCTTTCCATACCGTCCTGGGCCTTGTGGGCCCTGGGAGTCCCTGTCCCTCCACGCTCATCTGTCTGCGCCTCTTCTCGTTCCAGCTGCTCAGTTGGGAAGGAAGGTGGCTGTGGTGGATTACGTGGATCCTTCTCCCCGAGGTAGGCAGCCCGGTGGGAGGGGTGGCCTGAGGGTGGCCAGGTGGAGGAGAGGGGCCCGGGTCACATACAGAGGGCAGCTGACACCTTCATGCCCAGCTGCCCACAGAATCTCCACAGGGTGTCCTAGTTCATGTGTAAGCTGCCATTATTTTGATTATTTCTGATTTTTAAACTACTCTGAATGTAATTATGGAGAGAAGATTTGGGTGGCAAGATTCCCTGGGGCTGTGTTTGTGTTACAGCAACTTCAGGGAATTCCAAACAAGTGTGGAAGCCTGGGCAAGCCTCCTAGAGTCCCTGCATGCTTGCTGCCAGTCACTGGCCGTGGCTGTCGGCAGCCTGCCTAGCTTTGCAATGTGCTCTTCCATGTCCAGGCACCAGGTGGGGCCTCGGAGGCACCTGTGTCAACGTCGGCTGCATCCCCAAGAAACTGATGCACCAGGCAGCCCTGCTGGGGGGCCTGATCCGAGATGCCCAACACTACGGCTGGAAGGTGGCCCACCCCGTCCCGCATGACTGGTGAGAGTGGGTGCTGGGTATTCCTGATTGGATTCTGCTGTTTGTAGGCTGAATAGGAGGTTTGTTCATCCTGTTACTTTTCACAGAGAGCTTGCTGTGGGGCAGGGTTTTCAGCTGGGTGTGACTCTGTCCCCTCAGACATTGTCTGGAGACATTTCTGGTTGTCACAACTTGGGGCGTGCTCTGTCTGCAGGGTAGAGGGCAGGCATGCTGCTGCGCATCTTCCCTTGGACAGGACCACCCCAACCATACGCAGTGCCAGCACTACCGCAGAGGAAAAGCCTGCTTTAAGTTCTCTTCTGGGGCGGGATCAGGCACCAGGTGGGCGGCACCGTGGCTCTGCTCAGAGCCTGCCACAGGCCCGGCTCAGCTACTGTGCTGGCCTCAGAAGCTGCCATGGGCTGCCTCTTTGGTGGTGCACAGATGGGGCTGGTAGCAGAGATGGGTGCAGCTTGCTGGTCATGGACCAAGGCCTACCATTGTCAGAAAACTGGGCTCTGGTTAAGGGACAGTGGCAGTTGCACCTCAGGGTGAACATCATGCTTCTACTACCTTTAAACATATCTTCATTCATTTGTATTTGCATGTAATAGTTTGTTATGGAGGGAGCTCTGGCAGCACGACAGGTAAGCACTCAGCTGCTAACCTGAAGATTGGTAGTTAGAGTCTGCTCACCTATTTTGTGGGATAACTCACTGCCACCAAGTTGACTCTGACTCATAGTGACCCTATAGGATAAAGTAGAACTGCCCCATAGGGTTTCCAAGGCTGTCAATCTTCATGGAAGTTGACTGCCTCATCTTTCTCCTGTGGAGCTGGTGGTGGTTTCGAACCACCGACCCCTTTTTCTGGTTAGCAGCCAAATGCTTTAACCACTATTCCACCAGAGCATGGGATAAAGACCTGGCAGATCTGCTTCCATATAGATTATGGCCTAGAAAACCCTACGGGGCAGTTCTACTTTGTCACGGGGGTTACCATGAGACAGAATTGATTTGCTAGCTCCTAACAAGAACAAAATTATTATAGAACTGTGCAGCTAACTGTTCTGTGCATTTTAATATTTTGTGTTGTGTTATCAGGAGGAAAATGGCAGAAGCTATTCAGAACCACGTCAAATCCTTGAACTGGGGGCACCGAGTCCAGCTGCAGGATAGGTACTGACACTTGTGTGCACCTCTCCTGCTCTCAGGAGCATGGCCTCTGGGGGGGGGGGTGACTTTTCAGGCCTCTGGTTGTCGTTTTGTGCCTGTGGCAAACACTTAGTGAACATCTGCATGGAACATACCCTAGGTAGGCTCTGGGGGTCAGTAATGAGGAGACAAGGGGTCCGTGGTCTTGGATGGGGATGCAGGCCAGGAGCTGGTCAGGGAGCACTGGGATGTGTGGAAGACCTCGTTGCTGAGTGAATGGGAACGTTGGGGAGGAGCCTGAGCAGAGAGGACAGAGGTGCCTGAGGAATGTGTTATAGGAATAGCCCAGGGGTTGGGCCTGTGCCAGGGGCTGGGGTATGGTTGAGGCTGGGCTGGAGAAGTCCAGAGCAATGGCTGGGCTCAGGGGACCCAGGGACTAGCCAGGAGCCATCATGGGAGCTGGGCTCTTTCTTCCAGGTAGGCAGCCTTCCCTTGGCCAGGGCCGGCCCATAGTTACATGAAAGGCCCTGGTGAGCCTGTATGTGTGGCAGCAAAGAGGAAGCCCCAAGCACTGTCCCCAGACCACAAACCTCACATCCCACTTCATGGCTCTCCTCTTCCTGAGCCCCCTTGCCCAAGCTGCAGACACTGCAACCCCAGATGCCTGGAACCACCAGACCTCATCGACCCTTGGGGTTCTGCAGCCCAGACCCCAACATGTCCTCCTTACCTAAAGCCTGTGCTCCCTGCCAGGAACTGCTGCCCAGTGAGGCACCAGCCTTGGCCCTCAGCCCTGCACACTTCTGCCCTTTACCCTGTGGATCTCTGAGGGGGACTGTGGTCTGGGGAAGTCTAGTGGCCCTCACCTCTGTGCCATGTAGGATCTTTTTGGCACCGTGCAGTCAGCAGTTGTTTTGTGCCCACTAAACTCGGGCTGCTGAGCCAGCAGCCTAGTCTTGGTCATTAGACAGTGAGGGTGCACAGACCCCAGGTGCCCTTCCTCCTGTTGTACTCGCTGTCCTGGCCTCTTGGTGCCCTTAAAAGCAGAACGTGGATGCCTACCTGGTAGGAAGCAGGTGGGAAGCTGTTCACTTGGGAGGCAGGATAAATGGGTGTGATAGGCCTTTGCTCCCTGGTGGACTATGCCGGACAGCGAGGCCTGGCCCTTCGTGGAAGCCCTGCCACCTCTCCCGTTAGACACTAGGCTGTATCTGGGCTCTCAGGACTGTGGCTCTGCTTCGGCACCTGTGGTCCTTGTGTCCCAGGGAACTCCAGGAGATGTGAGTAAGGTGCCCTGCCCTGCCCTCCACGCTTCCCAATGCAGTTCTCCACGCGCCGCCTGCCCCCTGAGCCGTGGAGGTGGGCAGTGGCCTGGCAGCTCTCCCCTCAGCACCTGACTGTGTTCCTGATATACTCTGCTCAGAGGAGATGTTTGCAAATCTTATTTTTATTTTGCAGGAAAGTCAAGTACTTTAACTTCAAAGCCAGCTTCGTCGACAAGCACACTGTGTGCGGCGTCCTGAAAGGTGGGAAGGTGAGTGCCTGTTGCGTAGAGTGCGTGTCACAGACCCTGTTGTGGGCTATGCCCATCCTGCTCCAGCCCTTGCAGCCTCTAAGCTTCAACTGTTGGAATTAGAGAGATTTCTTTACAAACAGAGTAACCAGCCATATATGTTGCTAAGTGGGGTCCCTGGCTGGTACAGATGGTTTAGCCAAAACATTGGTGGTCTGGCCCACCCAGAGGTGCCTCAGAAGTCAGGCCTGGTGATCTGCTTCCGAAAGATCACAGCCTTGAAAACCCTGTGGAGCAGTTCTACTCTGTACACGTGGGGTTGCTGTGAGTTGGAACCAACTTGACAACAACTGACAACAGCAGCAATGTGTGATGCTCACCTTGCCAGGCTGCCCTGCTGCGTGGTGTAAGGGGACAGGTGAATCATGCTTTCGGTGCGGGGTTTTGTGGGGATTAGAGGTGATGCCTGCTGGTGCTTTGTAAACTGGGAAGTGCTTAGAGTAAGATGTTTCTCTGCCCTCTTCTGCCTGTCCACCTCCCATTCAGCTGACCTTTGACCAAGATGCAGGTACTGTGGGGCTGCTGTGTTGCTGACAGGAGGGGTCACACTGCAGGGCAGGTACCTATTGCCCAGGGCACCTCCAGGCACTTGAACACCCTAGATGGGCGACTCCAATGTAACTGTTTGACCCACAGCTTTCTTTGGTCGTTCTTAGATTCTACTTTCAGCTGACCATATTGTCATCGCTACTGGAGGACGGCCGAAGTACCCCATGCATGTGAGTGTCCCCCAAAACCACCTCACACGCACCACCAAGTACATCTGTGGTCTCTGGGCTCACGTGGTACACAGTGCTCATGCTTCTCAGTCCACAGCCCTGCCCTAATCTTTTACTTTATTGAGACTTAAGTCGATAAATCTTTTCTTCTGAACTGTACAATTCAGTGGCTTTCAGTATATCTCAGAGGTGTACAGTCATCAGTCACCACTGTCTAATTCCCAAACATTTTGATCACCCTGAAAAGAAACCCTGTACCCATTAGTGGTCACTCCCTGCTCCCCCTTTCCTCCAGCCCCTGGTAATCAAATACTAATCTACTTTCTATCTCTATAGATCCACCTATTCTGGACGTTCCATGTATGGAATCATATCATATATCGTCTTTCGTGTCTGGCTTCTTCAATTTAGCATAATGTTTTCCAGGTTCATCCATGTTGTTGCCTGTATCAATACTTTATTCCTTTTTATTGTTAAATAATATTCCATTGTATGGATATACCACATGTTATTTATTCATTTATCAGTTGATGGAAATTTGCATTGTTTCCACATTTTGGTTATGAATAATGCTGCTATGAACATGCATGTACAACTGTTTGTATGGACACATGTTTTTATTTCTCTTGTGTGTATTACATTGAATCTGTAGATCAGTTTGGGTGGTAGAATTGCTGGGTCATATGGTAACTGTCCACCACTAGCCTGTCACTATTCATACTGTGGTGGCTGGCATGTTGCTCTGATGCTGGAAGCTATGCCTCCGATATTTCAAATGCCAGTAGGGTCACCCATGGAAGACAGGTTTCAGCAGAGTTTCCAGAAAGTCTGTGAAGAAGGGCATGGCAGTCTACTTCTGGAAAAACTGGCCACTGAAAACCTTATGAACAGCAGTGAAACACTGATACAATGCCAGAAGATGAGCTCCTCGGGTTGGAAGGCCCTCAAAATACAATTGGGGAGAGCTGCCTCTTCAAAGTAGAATTGACCTCAATGGTATAGATGGAGTAAAGCTTTTGGGACCTTCATTTGCTGATCTGGCACGACTCAAAATGAGAAGAAACAGCTGCAAACATCCGTTAATAATAATCAAAACATGGAATGTACTAAGTTTGAATCTAGGAAAATAAGCTGTCACAAATGAAATGGAATGCATAAAGATCAACATCCTAGTCATTAATGAGCTGAGCTAGACTGGTATTAGCCATTTTGAATCAGACAATCATATGGTCTACTATGCCAGGAATGACAAACTGAAGAGGAATGGCATGACATTCATTGTCAAAAAGAACATTTTGAGATTTGTCCTGAAGTACAATGCTGTCAGTGATAGGATAATACCCATGTGCTTACAAGGAAGACCAGTTAATATGACTATTGTTAAAATTTACATACCAACCGCTAAAGCCAAAGATTAAAAAATTGAAGATTTTTACCAATTTCTGCAGTCTGAAATTGGCCAAACATGCAGTCGAGGTATATTGATAATTACTGGTGATTGGAATGTTAAAGTTGGAAATAAAGAAGCATTGGTAGTTGGAAAATGGCCTTGGTGGTGGAAATGACACCAGAGAGTGCATGATAGAATTTTGCAAGGCCACCGACTTACTCACTGCAAGTACCTTGTTTCAGCAACATAAATGGCACCTCTACACATGGACCTCACCAGATGGAATAAACAGAAATCAAACCGACTGCCTTTGTGGAAAGGGACAATAGAGAAGCTCACTATCATCAGTAAGAACAAGACCAGGAAGAGATTGTCAGTTGGTCATATGCAAGTTTACGTTGAAGCTGAAAAATTTAAAACAAGTCCATGAGAGCCAAAACACGACTTTGAGTACATCCCACCTAAATTCAGAGATCATCTGAGGAACAGATTGGACACACTGAACACCAGCGACCAAAGAGAAGGGAGTTGTGGGATGACATCAAGGTCATCATGCATGAAGAAAGGAAGAGGTCACTAAAAAGGCGGAAAAGAAAGAGAAGACCAAAATGGAGTCAGAAGAGACCGAAACATGCTCTTAAATGGAGAGTAGCTTAAATGAATGGAGGAAATGATAACGCAAAAGAGCTGAAAAGAAGATTTCAAAGGGCAACTCAGGAAGGCTAAGTAAAGTATTATAATGAAATGTGCAAAGAACCGGGGTTAGAAAATCAAAAGTGTGTAAAGAACACACTTGGCATTTCTCACACTGAAAGAACTGAAGAAAAAAATTAAAGCCTTGTGTTGCAATATTGGGGAGCTCTGGTAGCGTAGTGCCTAAGGCACTTGACTGCTAACCAGAAGGCTGGCAGTTCAAACCCACCAGCCACTCCTCAGAAGGAGAATGGGGCAATCTATTTCCATAGTGATACTGCCTCGGAAACCCAAGGAGGGGTCTCTATGAGTTGGGTCCAACTTGACGGCACATAACAACAACAACAACAACATTGCAATATTGAAGGATTCCACAGGCAAAATACTGAAAGATGCAGGAAGTATCAAAAGAAAATGATTTCACAGAGTCACTGTATTAAAAAGAATTGGTCAACATTCTGCCATTTTAAAAGGTAGAATATGATCAAGAACTGATGGTATTGAGGGAGAGAAGTCCAAGATACACTGCAGGAATTGGTGAAAAACAAGGCTCCAAGAACTGATGGAATAGCAGTTGAGATTTTTCAACAAATAGATACAATGGTGGAACTAGTCACTTGTTAATGCCAAGAATTTGGAAGATAGCTATAAGACCAATTGATTGGAAGAGATCCATATGTGCCCATTCCAAAGAAAGTGATCCAATAGAATGTGGAAATTATCAAATAATATCATTAATATCATACAAGTAAAATTTTCCTGGAAATAATTTTAAAATGGTTGTAGCAGTACCCAGATAGAGAATTGTGAGAAATTCAAGATGGATTCAGAATAGGGTGTGGAAAAAGGGTTATCATTTCTGATATCATCAGATGGATCTTGACTGAAAGCAAATACCAGAAAGATACTTATCTATGTTTTATTGACTATGCAAAGGCATTCAACTGTGTGGATCATAACAAATTATGGATAACATTGTAAAGAATAGGAATTCCAGAACATTTAATTCTTTTCATGTGGAACCTGTACTTAGACCAAGAGGCAATCATTTGAACAGAACAGGGAGATACCGCGTGGTTTAAAATCAGGAATGGTGTGTGTCAGGGTTGTATCCTTTCACCACACTTACTCAATCTGTATGCTGAGCAAATAATCCAAGAAGAAAACAGCATCGGCATTGGAAGAAGACTCATTAACAACCTATGATAAGCAGATGACACACCTTGCTTGCTGAAAGTGAAGGATTTACTGATGAAGATCAAAGACTACAAACTTCGGTATGGATTACACCTCAACATAAAGAAAAAAAGTCCTCACAACTGGACCAATAAGTAACATCGTGATAAAATGGAGAAAAGATTGAAGTTGTCAAGGATTTTTTTTTTTTTTTTAACTTGGATCCACAATCAATGCCCGTGAAAGCAGCAGTCAAGAAATCAAACAACGTATTACTGCATTGTTTGTTTTATAAGTAAAAGACTTATTGAAAGTGTTAAACACAAAGATATCACTTTGAATACTAAGTCGTGCCTGACCCTAAACACAACATTTTCAATTGCCTCATATGCGTATGAAAGCTGGACAATGAATAAGGAAGAGCAAAGAAGAATTGATGCATTTGAATTATGGTCTTGGTGAAGAATATTGAATATATCATGGACTAACAGAAGAACGAACAAGTATGTCTTGGAAGAAGTATAGCTGGAATGCTTCTTACAAGCGAGGATGGTAAGACTTCATCTCTCGTACTTTGGTCATGTTATCAGGTGGGTCCAGTCCCTGGAGAAGGATATCATGCTTGGTAAACAGAGGGTCAGTGAAAAAGAGGAAGACCCTCAATGAGATGGATTGACATAGTGGCTGCAACGATAGGCTCAAGCATAGCAAAGATTATAAGGACGGTACAGGATGGGGCAGTGTTGTGTCCTGTTGTACATGGGGTGGCTGTGAGTTAGATCCAACTCCATGGCACCTAACAACAACATGATAACAACATGGCGCAACCCAATGCACCGTCATCGAGTTGTTTCTGACTCACAGCGACCACTCCTGGGTTTCCAAGGTGGTATCGTTACAAGTAGATCGCTCAGTCTTCCTTCTGAACGTGGTAACTGTGTGTTTAATTTTTTGAGGAATTACCAGGCTGTTTTCTGAAGTGGTTGTACCATTTTTATATTTCTACCAGCAAAGTGTGAGGGTTCCATTTCCTCCACATTCTCACCAACACTTGTTATGTTCCTTTTTTAAATGATAGCCATCTTACATCTGACTGTGGATTTGGTTTACGTTTCCCTGATGACCAAAGACATTGATTATCTTTTTATGGGCTTGTTGGCCATTGTATTTTTTCTTTGGCAAGATGTTTCTTTAGATTTTTTTTTTGTCTATTTTAAAATCAGGTTAGTTCTTTTTTTTTATTGTTGAGTTTTAAGTGCTTTTACATGTTTTTACACTTGTTGTTATGTGCCATCGAGTCATCTCCAACTGATAGTGACCTTTTGTACAACAGAATGAAACACTGCCTGATCCTGTGCCAGCCTCACGATCCCTACTATACTTAAGCCCATTGCTTCAGCCATGTCTGTCCATCTCATTGAGGGCCTTCCCCTCTTTCACTGACCCCCCATTTTACCAAGCATCACAGCCTTCTCCAGAGAATGGTCCCTTCCGACCACATGACCAAAGTAGGTGAGATGAAGCCTGGCCATTCTCACTTCCAAGGAGCATTCTGGCTGCACTTCTTCCAGGACAGATGTCTTAGTCCTTTAGCAGTCATTGGTGCTTTCAGCATTCTTCGCCAACACCACAACTCAAAAGCATCAACTCTTCTTCAGTCTTTCATAGTCATTGTCCAACTCTCACATGCACATGAGGCAGTTGAAAATACCATGGTTTGGGTTAGGCATATCTTACTCTG